ATATATATATATATATATATATATATATATATATATATATTGGTAGATCCATGTAGATGTCACAGCAGATAAAGAAGTTTTCAAATACCTGTTCAAATATCTTTCCTGTGGCTACTATCACTGGATTCATAACATACGGAGCCGTTTTTAACTGTTTTGTCAGGATCTGTCTCATTTTATTCTGATTTTGTTGCTAAAGTTCGATCATGTGTTAAATGGTTTATAACTGAGAGGAAGCTGTAAATTGTGTCTTAAAACAGACTTTTTCAGACAAGCCGTGTTCCTTCTCTGCATTTGGTTATGTTCATGTGGACGATGTTGCCATCTAGTGGCACAGTATGGGCATTTCAGTGTTTTTGTTAGGATCTGTTGACAGAAAAAACACCTCGTTTAAATAATACTAAAAAAAAAAAAAAATCTGGAGAATAGGAGACAACATCTACGAGTTTTCATGTAAAAGCGCTTTGCTAAAGTTTACTTTTTTTTGGTTACAAATGCAAAACAAAGCTATCACACCTCCAGCAGGATTTTAATGACATTTCCATCTGAACAACCACTTAATGTAAATTTTACTGTAGATTTAAAGTTTATAAAATAACATGAAATCTTTGACGCTGGGTTTGTTTTAAATTGGCAGCAATGCTTTTTGTCTTGTTTGCTTTCGGACTAGCCATAAACCCGTCCATCCAGGCAGAATAATATGAATTTTCCAGACTTCATTTTTATATAGTGTTATCTACAAGTAAGTAAGCAAAACTTTATATAGCACTTCTCAAGATAACAATCACAAAGTGCTTCAACAAACAAAATTAAAAAGCACAAAACAAATTTAAGCAAAATCAGATTTAAAAATATGAGTTTTTAGCTGGCTTTTAAAAGAAGCCACTGATCCACTGATCTGAGGGTTTGAGGGAGTTCCAGAGTCTTGGAGCCACAGAAGAAAAGGCTTTGTCTCCTTTGGTTTTCAGTTTTGTCTGGGGGACAATCTGCAGGACTTGATCACAGGACCTCAAAGCCCTGATCGGGGTGTAGGGATGAAAAAGTTCTGAGACATAAACTGATGTCTGTCCATGCAGAGCTCGTCAAGTCAAAACCAAACCCATGAAATCCACTCGATAATGAACTGGGAGCCAATGGAGTTGCTTTAGAAGTGGAGTTATATGACAAAACTTTGAAGATCCAGTCAGGAGTCTACTGCAACCGGTCTAGGGAGGTTTTGGTTAAACAAGAATACAGCGCATTACAAAAATCCAGGCGAGATGAAACACAAGCATGAATAAACATTTCCAATTATGGACGAGAAACAATATGGCTAAGCCTGGTGATATTTAACAGATGGAGAAACAGGAACAAACCAGAGACTTTACATGAGTTTCCAGAGTAAAACCGGAGTCGAAGGTTATCCCAAGGTTTTTAACCGAGGATTTAGCAAAATGACCAAGAGGTCCAAGGATCTGCTTTATCATTACAGTTGTTTTTCTGGTGTAAAGATGATAACTTCAGGTTTTTCTCTATTTAGCTGGAGAAAACTTTCATTCATCTAGTTTTTAATTAAATCCAAACAGTAAAGTAAGATTTGTAGTTTCAAAACTTTATTTGGAATAAAATAAATATACAACTGGATGTCATCGGCATAACAATGATAGGAGATATCCTTAAAGGATGAAAGTATCGGACCAAAAGGGAGCAGATAGAGCAGAAACAGCGACGGCCCCAAAACAGAGCCCTGTGGAATGTCAAAATGAACAGGGCAGGAATGGGATCTGTATGTGAATGTAGCCAAGAAGAATGATTTATCAGACAGGTAAGGTTGTTTTCACACCTGATAGTCCGGTAGACTCGGTTCGGTTCGGGACCAATATTGGTGAGATTTTGTTACATTTGAGCTGGTGCGTTTGCATTCACACTGCACTGTGTAGTCGAGTCAACCTGTTGAACCAACCTGTTCCCCCGCTCGCCTGTGGGGGCACTGCACCAAGAACTACTGAAAGAAACAACACAACAACCTCTGAAGACACTTTTTCTTCTTCTGGAAATAAAACCAAAAAACAGAGTGGCATCAAGTTTTAGCAGTTTTAGGAGTTATATTTTGTCATTTTTCAAAAATGGACTCCTCATGAGCAGAAGATGAGACCGAAGACCATGGAGAATGTTGTTTTTCACACAAGGCAGCTGACGGCTCCATATAAGGTCAGAGAAATGCGTGTTTGTTTACCCTGTGCTGTACTCCACTTCTTGCTTGTGGAGCGGGGCCCGGCCTGTTTACATTCACACTGTACTGCAACCGCGCTGGAGTTCTCTTGTACCGGACCAAGACCTAGGTTTTAGCCCAGGCCAGAGTTCGCCTTTTTATTCCGTGACAGAGTTCGATGGCGCGTTCACACCTCCCTAAACGAACCGGACTTCCTAGGAAAACGAATTAGAGTTCGATTAAAGCGGACTAAACAGGGCTGGTGTGAATGCACCCTAAGAGCTGTTTCAGTTTAATGGAATTTACAGAAGCCTGACTGAAAGTGATCCAGATCTACAAGTAAATCATAATTGTTCATAACCTTTGTACATAATCCCACTAAAAGATTCAAACCTCTCCTTAATTCCCCCTTTTTTTTCTCCTTTCAAATTTTAAACAGTTCAGAGTTGTATCTTTTTAATTTATTTTATGAACACTTACTGACTATTCGTATAACCTAACTCTGTCCACTGAGGCCTCAGTGGTCATTGTGACCCAAGGGTAGCATTGTGTTTTTATTTTTTATTTTTAAATAATGTTTGGTCAGAATTAAATGGGAACTTGTAAAACAAACAGTAAACAGAAAAAAAACGAATTGTTGAGGACGTAAAAAGAAAAAGCTCAAATTTGCAATGTAAGACAAAAGGCAGGATAAGAGGAACAAAAATAAAGGCAGAGTTCATGGATTTCATCACGCCATCAGCGAAGCTCTGATCAGCGTCTCATTAGCACTTCAACGCGACTCTCCTCCTCTTCCACCGCTGACACAACCCCCGTCTCCGGTGCAACGCCGAGGCAGGCCGGCTGCAGGGGTTAACGTCTGAACGCGGCAATATGTGTTTACGTCTTCCCACCAACGTTCCAATGCAATGCTAATCCAATTCATTTTTAATGAGGAAGCTGTCAGCTCTTACCGCGAGGCGAAAGAGATAAGCGGCCGGTTGCACTCTGGGAAATCAATAGTGCACTTGTTTATTTTACTGTTTGCATTGTTTGTGCAGCGTTAAAATAAATAAATAAGTCAAATAAAACATGGGGATACGCCGCAGAGATAAGTGTTGTTTCAAAAAGCTTTAACTCCTTTGTACACAGCGTGCTGTGTGTACGCATCACTCCGGAGGATGATTACCGCACGTCTAACAGCGATGTAATTAATTTACTCTGCGTCAAAGGAGAGCGAAGAACGGAGATACCGCTCGCCGCTGACTGTTTGTGTGTTTTCGGACGAGGCGTGCTGGCAGGCAGGCGGGTGATAAGGCTCTGAGATAATCTGGTTTAAAAAGAAACGTGAAGTTTTAAAGGCAGAAAAATAAAAAAAAAAGACACCTCTCCATTCGCCCTTTCTTCCATCTCCTCCTCTGACTGAACTAATCCACGTCTTCGCAGTCGTTCATCACTGTTAAAGCAAATCTAACAGCGGGTTTATTAAAGGTCGTTACTGTTAAGTGGAGAGAAATGTATCGCGAGCTGAGCTCTATATTTCACCCTTCCAGCCATGAGCGTCTTTATTAGCTTCCACCATCTTTACCCTGACAGTTATGTCTCATAAAGTCGCCATATTTCAGTGGAGCGGGTGATGGCTTTTAAAAGAATTGAGTCTTTTTTTTTGTCTCCTCCTTCAGACCACAGTGACATCGATGGTGTGCAGCCAGAAGTAAACCACAGCAATAAAATCCTACAAGATTAAAACGAACCCCACCGTCATGGTTTTATAGCATCCATTATCACGTTCTGCTCAATTACGCCGCTATAAGGGTCATCGAAACTGCACAAACTCACATTTATTCCACTTAGTAGTGCAAATAAATTAGCTATAATTTGCCAAAGTTTCCGTTATTTGCTACCGATATCTTTATTTTTGCATGACGAGTTAAACAAAAGTCAGAACTGAGGTCCCCCTGCTTACCCAACCGAAATAATCACACATCTGTTTCAATAAGAGTGGCAATTATTTTAATTTTAGAAGAGACTTTTGTTTTTTTAAAGCACCAGAAAAACAATCTTTTTTTGTTATAGCTGAGCGCGTCAGATGTAAAATCAGTAAAATCAGGTTGGCAAAGTGGATGAATTGTTCAGCTAATCTGATAAAACACTTCCAAAACTTTTTGTTTTGGTGTTTATGTCAGATAGAGTTAAACACTTGGGGAGTGGTGGCACAGAGGTTAGAGAAGGTGGGCCTGTGATCGGAAGATCGCCAGTTCAAGCCCCAGTACCGACAACATCAAAAATGTGGGTGTGGTAGGTGAAGCACCCACACCTGCCCCCACCCTCATTCGCCCTACCCTGGGCCCATGAGCAAGGCCCTTAACCACCATGTGCTCCCTAAACAGGTCTCTCTTGAAAAAGAGTTCTCGTGGCTCAATGAGACTACCTGGATAAATAAAGGGTCAATGGATAAAAAACAGTATATAAGAAACAGAATTAACAGAATTAACCAATAAATTAATCAACTAACAGTATGGTGCAAAAGTCTTAAACCACCTCATGTACTTATAGACATTCTTTCCAAGCAGACAGAATTTATGAAGTTTTTCTTTAAACTTAAACTGATTTTTCATAAAAAACCCGTCCACTAATGCACCTGACCATGACAGCTCGGCCTGTCACAATAAACAATAAATCAATTAATCAAATGAAAAATGAAAATGATCAACCTCATTTTCATTTATCGGCTTTATCGTTTCTTCTTGTCTCTCTCTTTCTACTGAAGACACTGGATGACAAGAGGATCGACTCCAGTGCTCTTCACTGACTCCTCCCTTTCTCTTTAAAACTGTCCAAAATCATGTTTTTGGATCATTAAAAGCAGCTAATCTGAGAAGCTAAGCTATGAGCTAAGCTAACAGGACGATCTCGGGAAAAAACCTCCGTCTTGTCAAAGCTCCAAAATTCAGTTGAAACCCATGCCTTTGTCTAAAAAGTTGTTTTTCTCTGCAAAAGGAAGCTGAGAACTTGTTTAATAATTTTTAATTAAAAGCTTTGTGTGAAAAATGCTATGCTAAAGAGTTCAAATCACACCGAGCGTCCGCCATTTTCAGAACCAAAGAGAGACAGCCCATGTCGCATCAAGGGGCCTCCCTCCCATTTTTCTTAAAGAGACGCGCTGCTCGCTCCCTCACTATCCATCCTTTGGTTCAAACTGTCTTATACTGCCATCCGGTGGTCAAAAAAAGGTACTACATGCAAAACAAATTAACAAACATTTCTTCTTAAATTTGACAAAAATTACTAATATTGTCAAATTTCAAACAATATTATCGTTTATCGCAATACTTTCTGAGACAATTAATCGCCCAGCAAAATTTGTTATCGTGACAGGCCTGATGACAGCATGTAAAAGAAGAGGAAAGTGAGGACAAATGTAGAAGATTCAGACCTAAAAAAATCTATTTTTGTCAGATGAACAGTATCTTAAAGGTGTGCTTGTTTTAGAAACAAAGGATGAATACGCTACTGTCTGTCTGTCAAACTGAGCTATCTTTGGTAACTTTCATGACTTTAACTAAAAATACGAACAAAGTGCAGAATGTCTTTGTGATGGGATGGTAACGAAAAGGAAGATGCTCCTTAAAACTGTTTATTTGCTGTGTTGTCTGTAATGTGTCAACTGGTTCATTGAGTTTAGAAGATTTTTTTTATGTCTAAATGGTTCATTGGTCGGAGTCAAGACGTCTGATAAACAAACAAACATTCCTCTGAGCATGATCAGGACAAAGTAGTGTAAATCTAAAGAGGTACTGTACTTTTGATCAGGGCTGTTTCAAAGGGTTATAAGAATATCTGGCGGCTCGGAAGGTAATAAAGTGGTACACTGATGCTCGCTGTTGCACAGGATTTGAATAGTGAATGTTTGCAGTTTTTGAGATTCGTGTTTTTCTGGTCTGGAATCGGACAGGGAATGCAAATAAACCTTAATGTTTTGGTTTTTTTATGCAATACATTCAAGTGGGTAGAACAGAGGCAGGATTTTTTGTTGTCCGAGGCAGTGCAGAATGACAGAGCCTGGTGAGTGGAGGGAGCAATTTTACCTACCACCAGGTGCAATGGCGGAGTCAGTGGGGGTGGCCAATGATGGTCTTGGCCACCGTAAATTAATCTACAGCCACCACATTTATTTGAGGAGACTTTACTTTGAAGAAATATAAAAACGAGAATGCATAGTTTCCTCAAATGATTCCCAATGATCAGAGTGGCCGGTTTGCATGTATAAATAGTGGTGGCCATCTTGGATTTTGATGTGGCAACCCATTTTTTAATAGTGTCCATTTTTACATAGGGATGCACAATATTATTGGCATGGTATTGGCCGATATTAGAGTTAAAATTAAATATCGGACATTGACCATTTCATCAAAATAGCTCATTGATATATAATATCCAAGTATATCTAAATATACATAATCCAAGTTGAAGTGTTGCATCATTTTCAGCCCCGTTTTTGGCATCTGCATTTGGCAGCAGGCCAAACTGACAAAGACCATGTAGAATAATGTATTTTAATTCAATAGCAAAGAAAGCTATGTAGTCTCTGTAAGTAGGTCTAGGGAAAAAAAAATATTGGTATTGGTATCGGCCAAATAAGTTTTAACATATTGGCATATCGGATATCGTCCAAGCACCCAATATTGTGCATCCCTGTTCTTACACCTTGATGCAGCCACACACCAAAAATGGAAGTTGGCACCTCAGTTATCTTTCAAGTTATCGTGCTTAAAAGATGAACGGATGGAGGGTATTTCTAAGTCCCCTCAGCTCCACGATGGGGGACAATAAAAAAGTGAGGGCTGGATCAGGATTCTTAAACACTTTAATACATGAGAATTGGTTTTAAAAATTATTACAACCCAGTTGTGTTTGGACTGAGCGCCCCCCAACCTAGCCTAAAAGCATTACATTATTTAAAAAGACTTCATGAATTTAAAATAATGGCAGATGGCTTCTTTAAAGAAACAAAGACACTTCCTGCAGAGCGTCCCGTCCAACAGTCCTGGTTAGAATGAGAATGAATGGAAGAAGATGGCTTGTATAGGAAATCAATTCAGAACCGGATCTGCGTTATGTAGTTTGGAAATGGGGTGATCCTCTGACTGGGCGTTTGTGTTTGTCTGAAATGGATGCATTGAGTGTGTGAGAAGACGAGCAAGCTCACAGTGTGAGCCGCCGCGGGGGGATCGACTCCGGTTCAGCACGAGGCTAAAACGATTCAACTTTTACTGACCTCCTTCCAAAGTGTCTTAATAATTTATTGCAGATATAAAAAAAAATAAATATAAAAAAATCCAACATTTCCCCTTCTATCTGCTTCAATCTTTCCCCAGTTCCTTGTCCAATCTGCCCATCAAGAAGTGAAAACACACACATGTGAGATCACTTTACCAAGCTATCTCATAAAGGGTTATAGATGTTGTCCTTGTGTGTGTGTGTGTGTGTGTGGGGGGGGGGGGGGGGGGGCTCCTCACCATTAGATTTCTCACTGTCTGCAGGTTTCATCTGAATCGGGTGATGCATCTGTGGAAACAAAAGAGGGACAAAAACAAACCATTAAATATCACCTTGACACGTGCATGAATACAGTGAGGCATGGCGAGCTGCAGAGTGCCCCGGCTCCCTCATGTGCAAATTAGATCTGAATACCATTCAGCAGGAAAATGTCAGCGCAAGGCAGCCTGCTTTGTGTGCTTTATTTTGTTGCTGCTTTGTGGATCCCCAAAAACACGCCAGTCCAGAGGGTAAAAGGTTCAGGATCCAGAAGTGGTTCGTTAAAGGAATCGTAAAAACGTTCCAAGAAGGACAGTCAGGAACAGACAGTGTCAGCTGCATATCTGTGGACAGCCTCTACACCCATCCATGCACCTTCTGCTGCTCATCGGTGGTCAGGTTGAGGGGGCAGCAGGTCCAGGAGGGAAACATCTCTTAATGAGACCCACACCAGAGAGGACATATAATCCTTCCAGCACGTTCTGGGTCTGCCTCGGGATTTCCATCCACTGGGAAACCTCCAATTAGCTGCTCAAACCACCTCAGCTGATTCCTTTCGATGAGGAGCAGCAGCTCTACTCCGAGCTCCCCACCAGTGATCAAGGGCGGCTATGGCCACCATAGGAACATCTTTGGCCACACTTATCACTGCTTAGACCAGGCGGGTTTTACGTTGTAACTTCAAATCATTCGAACAGACGTAACTGTAGGTGATGCTCCATCTGAACAGGTGGTGGCAGTATTTATTGAAATAAAGTTAATGTCACATACAAGCATGAAAAGTGAAGAATATGGGTGGCACTACTTCATTAGGAAATGCTGTTTCCCTCTTTATACATCAGATACAGGATCTGACTTATGGTGTCAAATTTACATTTAATAACAAAAGACCAGAACTTAAATGTTAAACTAAAACTGAATGGGACAACTTTTCTAAACACAGGTAGATACATTTTTCTCCCTAGACTACCTCACATCCTTTGTAGCTCAACCAGCCTCTCTAAGATGTTATGCTATTATTACACCGAAAAAACAAAATATATTTGAGCCTAAAAGCTAACCTTAGCTCCCAGCAGCTAATACTCCCAGTGTACTCGCGGCAACACTGGTTCCTGAGCAGCACGGTCACATGTAGCTGTTTTTTGCTACTATTCCTCTTGAGTGTCCTTTTGGTTGCTATTTTGTTTTGATTTGGAAAAAAAAGAGAAACTTAAATTTGTATATCTATGCCTATTTTATGACTGTCTATTGTTGTCGCTGTTGTCCATTGTTGTTATCACTCTTTGTTGTAAATGAGTCCCCGAGGCTCAATGGGATTAAACTGTCTAAATAAAGGTTGAATGGATTAATTCACTCTAACTTCACATTTTTGGCCAATCACGCACTAGTTGATGCAAACTAAAAGGAAAATAATAAGTTTGCAACCTAGTATCAAAAACAGGCTCTCGGAGCCACTAGAACACATTAAACTCAAAGCCCGCGGGCCAAAACTTGCCCTTGTTAACATCTCATCTGGCTCCCAAGATGATATTTTTAAATGCAAAATAAGTTTGTCACTTCTCAATTTGATTAAAACAAAACTGATCAGTCTTCAATTTAGTGGAGACTTCTCGTTAGACGCAAAAGAAAAATGTTTGGATCGTTTTAGTAATCTTTGATTTTGATGTGGAAAGAGCAACAGAGAACACCAAATGAACTTCTTGTTGATAAACCTGCACGCAAGAAAAGATGTCGGGTATTGACTGAAACTGCCCCGTGGTTTGGACCAAGTTTTTAATTCTGGCCCCCATTTGTTGTTGTGGTTTTACAACGTGGTCAGCGACAAACACATTACTTCACTTCTCACAAAGTAAAAATCCAGCTTTAGGCTGAGTCTGACCACCATACAGAGGAAAGTCATTTCAGCCACCCGTATTCAAGATCTACAAAACATACGATATATAACCAACAAGCACAAACCTTATTTGCTGTAAAATACCTTTAAACAATTAAGAAAATATACATTTTAATTAAAAAAAGCTAAATGTTGGTGATTCATTTGCATATAAACACAACCTATAAAAGTTTAGAACGTTGGGATAGGTATTTTTCCATCTATCTCTTATAGCAACATCTTGACTTGATTTCCATAAATCAGTGACAGGAATAAATTGCTTTTGGAAATAGTTTTACGTATCATTCTTCTTGCTTTTAAAAAGTCATTTTTAAAACCTGATCAAATCCGGCTGATTAATAATTCGGGGTTTCTCAAAGATAAACATAAAAAGACCAAAAAAAACAAAAAAACATTTTCCTTACAAGTATTAGGATTTATGATTGTCCAGACCAGTTTGAAGCATTGACAGTCAGGGTATTTAGAAACACCCTGAACCAAGGAACCAGGGACCGATGGTGTAGAGGAAGGGCAGTCGACTTAGGACCAGAAAGTCGCGGTTCGACTCCTCGCCATGCTCACACGTTGTGGTGTCCTTGAGCAAGACACCTAATCTCTAATTGCTCCCCGGGCGCTTACATATCTACCCACTGCTCCACCTGGGTATATCTCAGGTGTGAGGGGTTAAACGTAGATAACTTATTTTGTCATTGTATGGGAACATACAATGATGACAACACATAGCACTTATACTTAAACACAAGGACGGAACGTGATAGTCGAAGCCGAAGCAACATGAGAGCCGACGGTATGCTGCTTGCAGTACAAGTATTAGTCCGAGTAAGCTACTACTTCTTTCGGCTGTACCCTCTACAGGGGTTGCCACAGCGAGTCATCCTCTGTCATCACTCAAACTACCTCCATGTCCTCACCAACTGCATCCCTGGTGGCCACCCAGTTTTCAAAAGGAAACTTTCTTACACCTTAAAGCAGCCACACACCAATAGGGAAGATGGCACCTCACTTTTTTTAATTTAAATATCATGTTCACAAGATGAAACGGACGGACAGACGGTATTACCAATTCTCCATTTTCCCTTCGCAACATGGGACAAAATTGTATTATTATTATGGGGAAGTAAGGGGGAATTTCAGCTCCACATTTATTAGAGTCCACAGACACTGGTTTAGTCAATACAACATCGCAGCACCTTTAAAATGCAAGTGCTGGTTTTAATTTTCAAAGGCAGACTGAGACATCACTAATTAACCTACAGTGCAGGTATTCAGCCTACCTGAAGGAAGCCCTAATGGAGCTCTAGTGTGCACCAGAAGCAGTTTACAGAGTGCAAGTAGTGTTGTCAGAAAAAATGTCCTCTTTTATTAACAAAAAAAAAAAAAGAGAAAACACTTCAGTGATGAGGAGGCTTTGTCACCTCTCTCAACCTTCTTCAAACTCCCCTCGTCTGTCCCTTTTTTATTCCCTCCGTCTCTCTTTACTTTATGGGAGATTATGTGGTTGTTTGATCTGCGGAGAGACGAATGACAGCGATTCTCCAAATCTAGCCCGGTATCAATCACACTCAGAGTCAAATACCAGCCGTGAGTGAGTGTTTCTCTAGGTGTGTGTGTCCGTAGCAATGTGTATATGTCCCGTCTCGCCCATTATGCCCCTGGGCTCAGTCACACTGTGACAGAGGGCTTTGATCTTCCAATTCTATCACACACCTTTATCCCAACTCTCCCTCTTCTTGCTCTCTTCCTTATCATCTTCACTCTGATATTTTTTTCTACTCACAGCCCTGTCTCAGATGCACACTCGCACACCGACCCACATCTAATCCTTTGATTAGTACCAAAATCAGCCTGACGGGGGCAGTAAGCAGCGGAGGATGACGTGACTTTAAAAGACAAAACGATAAAAATCAAAATAAGGAGAAATAACAAAAACAATGTTTTTGTTTATTTATTTTTACATTTTGTGTTTGAAAGATGCACCAACATAGTTCCAACATAGTGAACAGTGTTTCCCCTACATTACTTGCCTTGGTAGGGCACTCATTTGTGAAGTAATTGTTGTCGTCAGGGAGACCGAGACATGTCTGTGTTATGTGCCGTTTGTACCAAAAGTTTTTCAGCCAGGGTTCGGGGTGGGGGATGGGGGTGGGGGGTTTAGACGGCTCAGCATGAGGGAAACGTGTGCTACCTTACTTTGCTGGCTGCTGCCATAGCCCTACAGAACCTCACTGACCTACACAAGGCAAAGTCGGTGAACAAGGCCAGGCTGATTCTGGCAGATCCTGATCATCCACTCCATGGTGGGTTCAGGTTGCTTCCATCTGGACTAAGGATGCACAATATTATTGGCATGGTATCGGCCGATATTAGCGTTAAAGTTCAATATCGGACATCGGCCATTCTAGTAAAAATAACGCACAGATATAAAAGGCACTGTTTTTGCCTGCAGCAGCAGCATAACGTGATGATGTCACATGTGCCTACCCGATCACACGGCGGAGAGGAGAATTCAAAATGTCGGCGGAGTGGAAGTTTTATTTTTCATTGAGTATGTTGGATTCCAAAGATTTATGGACTACATTGAGCCTCGCTACATTTGTCCCCAGTCTGAGATATTTTTCAGACGTAATGTTACCCGAGTTACAAGCCATCATTTCCAATGCTATTGAGAAGCTAATAGTCGATAGCACGACTTATTGGTTGAGTTTTACCACAGACATTTGGACGTTGTGTTAGCCCCGTTAGCATGATTAGTCTTACAGCACAATGGATAGACAAAAACTTTGAACTTAAAAAGTCTGTCCTTCATGCACAGGGGTACAGAAGATCCCACACTGCAGCTAGAAACCTGGAACAAACCTCCACAAGTGAGACAGCATCACAGTGACTAATGCTAATAAATAACATTTAACACTTTTCATTTAATATAAGTTAAAGTGCTATGCATATCTTATGGCTGTTACTGAATATGTGTCACCAGCTCTTACAGCTGTTGCACAATTTTTGTAGCAAATAAGCCTAAATAAGAGGGCTATGTTCTGACAAAGGAACATATATAAAATATCAGTATCGGCATCGGTTATCGGCCAAATAAGTTTTAACCTATTGGCAGATCCTATATCGGCCAAACATCCAGTAT